CCCGTTTTGGCCTCCTGAGGGGGCAAAGATGGCCCCGAGAAGCGCCCAGGAGGCCCCCAAAGGCCCCAAGATGGCCCCAAGAGGCCCCAAGAGGCCCCCAGGAGGCCCCAAACAGGATCCCGAACGGCCCACAGAGGCTCCCCCGAGGCACCCAAGACGCCGGAAGGCCCCTCAGGACGACCCTCTACTCGCTTGGGCGTCGTTTCTGGACGGGCTGGTGGGGATGCGCGAAGCGTTTCCCCACCAGCCCTCTGGGCGTCGGTGGTTTAGGGCGTTTCCTCTTCCACCCCTCCCTCTTCCCCTTCGGGGAGGGGTTTACCCTTCCCCCTACCCCCTCCCCACTGACCTGGACAGGCGGGGCGGGGAGCGGTCAGAGCGTCCAGGATGGCCAAGGACGGCTCCAAGAGGGCCTCAGAGAGCCCAAGATCGCCTCCAAGATGGCTCAAGATAGCGCAAGATGCCTGAATATGGTTCAGAAGACGCTCCAACACGTTCCAAGACCGCTCCAAGATGGTTCCAAGTGCCCACAAGAGCATCATTAGAGTGCCCTCAAAAAGCCGAAATGCTTCAAAACCTAAAGAAAATCAATGTTTTTGGTGTTTTCACTTTTCCGCTTCCGAAGCCCATCCGAGGCCTCAAGATGGCGCCAAGATGTCCCAACTGGGCCCCAACATGGGGCCCAAGAGAGCCTCAATACTGCCTCAACAGCGTCCAAGAGCGCTTCAAGAGCGATCCAAGAGGGGTCCAGGAAGCGATTTTAGACAGTCTGGAGGGGCAGCGCTAATTAAAGCTCTGCTCTTCTTTGATAGATTTGCTCCAAGATGCCCCCCCCAGAGCGCCCCGATGGCGTCTAAAAGGACCCCAGACGCCCAAAAACTGCTTCAACATAAATTCAATCGAGCGCTCGCGCGGGACGCGAAGCCCAGAATACTGCGAAAACACATGTAAGAGCAACCGAAACGATCAAATGCTTCTCACAGAAATATGTTATTCTGCCTGCACATCCGTACTCGACGCCTCAACCCCACCAGCCCTCTGGGCGTCGGTGGTTTAAGGCGTTTCCTCTTCCACCCCTCCCTCTTCCCCTTCGGGGAGGGGTTTACCCCTCCCCCTACCCCCTCCCCACTGACCGGGACAGGAGGGGCGGGGAGCGGTCAGAGCGTCCAAAACAGCCTCGGCGAGGAAGCCAAAATCATTGATTTTAGCAGGGTTTTGGCCCCATTTTGGCCTCCTGGGGGGGCAACGCTAATTAAAGCTCAGCTCTTCTTTGATAGATCTCCTCCAACATGGCACAAAGAAGCGCCCAGGAGGCCCCAAGAGGTCCCAAGATGGCCCCAAGATGGCCCCAAGAGGCCCCCAAGAGGCCCCCAGAAGGCCCCCAAGAAGACCCTCGGAGGCCCCAAGAGCCCCCCCCCCCCCCCGAGGCACCCAAGACCTCGAAGAGCCCCCCAGCATCGCCAAGAGACCCCCAAGACGTCCCAAGAGGCCCCCAAGAATCGCCCAAGAGATACTCCAAGAGGCTCCTAGAGGCATCCAAGAGACATCTGGCCCTTGTGCTTGCCCTCCTCCTCCTCCTCCTCCTCCTGTTCCTCCTTCCTGCTCCTACTCCTTCTCTTCCTCCTCCTCCTCCTCCTCCTCCTCCTCCGCTTCCTCCTCCTCATCCTATTAATCCTCAGTCTTCCCACTCCCTCATCCATCCATCCATCCACCTCCTCCTTCTCCTCCTCACTCCTTTGCACGGTTCGGCCGTCCTCCTTGTTGCTGCCGCACTTCCCTGATCACCTCAACTCGCCTGGACATCGTTTCGGGATGGGCTGGTGGGGATAAGCGAAGCGTCTAGAATTTGTTACCTACCGTCACGATCGTATGAGGTATTGCGACCAAGTTGCGGGTGGGAGGGCGGGATGTTTGCATGAGCAGTGGAGATGCCAGCTTCAAGACAGTCAAAGTGAATTGTACAACATAGATTGCGCCACATATATTGCTCCACGGACAGTGACCCACATAGGTTGCACACCCTTGATTGCACAACTTAGACTGCACAACATACATTCAACAACAAATATCGCACCGCGTAGACTCCACCACACAGATTGCCCCCCCGATATTGTATAACATAGATGGGTAGAAACACGCTGTTTGGGGTCCACGCTGGCCAACGTGTGTACACATACATATATATATATACATATATATATGTATATGTATACGTCATACCTACAGATGATGATACATATAAGCCTTGTGTATGTGCACATGAGGTATATGCATTGTCTGCAAATACAAAAGTATGTATGAATGTATGTATGTTGTATGGCTGTGTGGATGTGGTATGTGTGTTTGTATGTATGTAAGTACGTCTGTGCGGATGCATGTTTGCATGCATGCACGTATGTAGAATATGCAGGTCTGCGCGCATGCATGTGTGCATGTGTATATGTATGTGTGTATGTATGTATGCATGCATGTATGTATGTACGTACGTAAGTGTAGCTGTGGG